GCGGCAGGAAGTGAGCTCATGGCAGCGGGTGTGTCGGCAGGAAGCAGCTGTTGGTGTTCGGTTACATCATGTTGATCGGGGTCTCCAGGACAACCTGCGAGGACACAGCCACATGACTGGAGAGGACGTCAGACTTTGGCCAGAACAAAGCTTCCAGGAAATAGCCATAGCCGCACTCTGGCATCCTCCATGCTGGAGTGTTATTATTCACTCTTCGTTTGTCTGCATGTTTAGTCATGGCAGCATTAATATATAAAAATATAAAAAGTCACCAGACTTCCTTCATGAATGGAATATTTTGGATTTTTTTCAGTCAGAGGGCATCGAATATTGAATTCTTCACATATTCAAATGAAAAAACAGAGTATAGATAGATAGATAGATAGATCTTATCCTTCCTTTCTAATGAATAATATCAATATTTGCCTTACTTGTACACACTGATATGTATATAACAAACATATGCAATTATACACCTATAATCACATCTGTTTATTTATCTATTTACTTAAGCATACAAGCTACAATCAAAGGTCTCTAACTTTGACTCAAATGTCCTGATCTCCATTTTTAAGCTCCATCTCTGGACCAGTTTCAGCACATCTGCTATTTTTTGATCACCCCATGGAAGACCTCTGCTGACCACTTTCACTCAGGACTTCCAGGGAAGCATCTAAAAATACTACAGATGCTGGAAGCTGTCCAGAGACGTGTGAGAAGATGACCTTAGAGGGAGATCAGGCAAACTAAAATCAGATAAGGTTTTTGCTTTTCACGAGTCGTGTCATTCTTTGATTTCCACGCGTACTGTAAAAAAAGCTGCTTATGGTGTTTTTCTGGTAGTGTTGCAGCTCCTAAGGTGGAGGAATAACTGGAGGACAGCTGACTGCGAAAACATGACAATATTTGACGTTTGAGGCGGCAGCGCGTTAATGCGGCTGCTGACAGAGACTCACAGACATCAGTGTGTGTTCAGTGACCGCTCTCGGGTGTCACCACAGGAACACCCAGCAATGAATGTGTGTGTGTGTGTCACATACCTCTCATTGCCACTCCTCTTTGATTGACATTGTTATGATGTTGTCTTGACCGGTTGCCCAGGCAACTCCTCCTCACATCGTGAAGGGATGATGACATGCAACAACACACACGCAC